GTGTGTGTGTGTGTGTGTGTGTATGTATATATATATATATATATATATATATATATATATATATATATATATATATATATATATATATATATATATATATATATATATATATATATATATATATATATATATATATATATAATTTTTTTTTTTTTTTTTTTTTTTTGTTTATGTATATATATATATATATATATATATATATATATATATATATATATATATATATATATATATATATATATATATATATATATATATATATATATATATATATATATATATACCTGTTGGACCAGCAATGAACATCAAAAATAGAAGACATATTTTTAAATGCTCCCAAGATAGCTAATTAAACAGTTTGATTAGTGATATGATTAGTTGTGTAGTAATCTATAAGCTTATTATATATTATTCATGTAAACCATTGGCTATGAATATGAAAAATGCATTGCAGAAATGTCTTAGGCTTGATATTTTAACTTACAGACAATAAAATGGGAAATGCCATTCCCAAAGGTGTGTAAAATTGATGTTATTAGCTATATGCTATATCTTTGACTGAACTATATGCACAAATAAGTAGATTATAGAGTTAATTATTGTGCACATGATATCTAGCTGTTTCAGACTCCTCAGAAATGGACTCAGAATAGTCATTGAGGCAACTAGAGAGAGAGAGAGAGTGAGTCTTAGCATGTTATATAATGTCTTGTGTGGAGGATGAATTGTAATTACCTCACTGACAAAGCCTCTCGAATGCCATCATTAATACAGTCTGCCATTCTGAAGAGATGCAAGACACATATTATTAAAAAGCATAATATATACTTAAGAGCAACAGAATTTTCCAATTCTTTCACAGAAAACGTAAGAGTTTTCAAAGGAACAAAGATTAAGTTGTTTGCGCCTCAACACTGATTACACCTATTTATTTATGGCGACAGCGTTCAGTCCTGGCAGTGTTCCCAATTGCAAAATGGCATGTCTTGGCAAAACAGTCACTCGAGGACAAGCTGGTCATTTAGGACATTTAGTTGAAGTATTTCAGTGGCTGACATTATAAAATATCTCCCTTTAAATTGCGGATGTGCCCCTTCCTGCAGGGTCAGCTTAAACTAGGCCATGTCTGGTTATACCTGTGTGAGTTGGACTGCTTTAAACCTGCGCTCGAGTGAATAGGATGGCTAACTCCCATGTGAAGTCACCACTGAGCTGTCACACTAAATCAGGAACAACTACACTAAAACTGCATTTTTTTTAACTGTATGCACAGAAGTGAAACAAAATAAGGCCCTGCTCCAAAATATAGTGAGCTTTAAAAGCAAAAATGGGGATAGTTCACACAAAAAGAACATTTCTTCACCATTTCTTCACACTTAAGTGGTTTTACACTGCAAAAACGCTTTTCTCACTTAGAATTTTTCTCTTGTTTCTAGTTCAAACATCTAAAAAAATTTAAATCAAGAAGCATTTTTTAGACAAGCAAAATAGTCTTATTTTAAGAAATAATATGCCAAAATGAAGCAGGTTTTTCTTTAAAACAAGCTAAATAATCTGCAAATGGGATAATAAATCTAGTTTTTTCTTTTGACAAGATTATGTTGCTTGTTTTATTGATAAACTTGCCTAATTTTAGAATATTATTTCTTAAAACGAGGCAATATGTTTTGCTTGTCTAAAAAACACTACTTGATTTAAGATATTTTTGGATAATTGAGCTAGAAACGACAAAAATATCGAAGCAAAAATATATAGCTTAAAGTGGCTAAAAATGTCCTTGCTCTGTTCATTTGGAAATTATATTTAAAAAAAGAAAAAAAACATTCAAAGGGGAGCTAATAATTCTGACTTAAACTGTATATAGAAAAACTGCCAATCCGTATGGGCTCTTACTTACTTGCCATAGTTAAATTCCATAACATGCCAGTTACATCTAATACCAACTTCAAGTGTTAGCACATACGTAATTTTTTTTTGCACTTTTTTTAGTTCTTAGTTATTGCCTTGATAATAGAAAATATGAGCTAGGCATTGTGTATGACAGTTGCCAAAGTGAGATATAAGCTATACGGTAGGAGACATATCTTGTATGTACGTATAGAGCTTATATGTGGATATGAAGAAGCAATACAGGAGACCTTTATGGCCTGTATATGCACCTCAATTTTGCCTATATGTGCCATACGCATACATGCAGCGTATATATTATCATATATGTGCATGTATACTGCAAATAGGTTTCATGTATGCGCATATAGGTTTTTTCCATGTGGGAATTCTAGAATTCCTGGTTAAAAAGTACATTTTAGAGGTTTTTTTAAGAAAATAACAATGTTTTGCTTTGTAAGAACCGTTTAAATTTCTTTGGGGTCATTTAAAGCTGCATTTAAAAAGCAATTTAAACCAACGAGCACCACTGAAGTGTACTATTTGGCGAAAAATCTAATCATTTGGAATGAAAAACAAAATGAATAATTCTCCAAAATTGTTTGTGACTCTACAAGTTAATTTACAGCATCATTTGTTATTGGTTTTCTCTTCTGACATGCTAATCAAATCTGAAAATGTATCTTTAATATCTTCATAAACAGTTTATCTTCATCAATCAGCTGATACTTGCTGGACAGTCTGATATCCTTCTGTTCAGATGTCAAGACAAAGACATTGAGTGCTGATGGCTGTGCTCGGTGTGTGATCAGTTCAGTGTCTGTTGTGTCAGTTTCTGTCTTGCAGAAATTAAATTACTGGGCAAAATGAATTAATAGGAGATTTATTTACCTGTATAGGACATTCAATTACTTTAGCTTTGCACAGAAATCAATTGTAGGTGCATTTCTATGCCTCGCTGCTGTCAAGATATTGAACTCAGTTCCAAAATTAAGATTAGATTAGATTTAGATTACTTTTACAAGCCTGGGAGGACGATAAGGATTGGCTAATATGACCAGTACAGTGCTTAGGTAGAAGCAGCCAAAAGTAAAAACAGTTTTTTAATGCTAGATTTGGAAAGGATAGAAAGTAACACAATAAAATAGTGAAAATTAACTTGACCTTTAGCTACCAATTCCCAGTCAAAAACCTTTAAATGTGTGCAGTGGGGATTCAGGAGGTTTTCTAAATAATCAAAGTCAAATCCTGCATGTTTTACTGATTGAATATCTTGTTATGGGCAGCACCATCACCTCACAGCAAGAAGCTCGCTGGTTCAAGTCCCGGCTGGGCCAGTTGGCATTTCTGTGTGGAGTTTGCATGTTCTCCCCATGTTGATGTAGGTCAGGGGTGTCCAAACAGTCCTGGAGGGGCGGTGTCCTGGATAGTTTATCTCCAACTTGCTTCAACATACCTGCCAGGAAGTTTCTAGTTTGAAACTTCTAGTCTAGCTTGATTATCTGGTTCAGGTGTGTTTGATTAGGGTTAGAGCTAAACTCTCCTGGACACCGGCCCTCCAGGAGCGACTTGGACACCCCTGGCATAGGTGAATTGAATGAATAAACTAAATTGGCTGTAGCGTATGAGTGTGTGTGAATGTGAGAGTGTGTATTGGTGTTTCCTAGTACTGGGTTGCGGCTGGAAGGGCATCCGCTGTGTAAAACATATGCTGGATAAGTTGGTGGTTCATTCCGCTGTGGTGACCTCTGAAATAGGGACTAAGTTGAAGAAAAATGAAAGAATATCTTGTTATACTTAAAATAAAATCACAGAAATGCAATAGTTTGTAGATGCTGTTTATGTAACCATGTAAAGCAGTAACCACTTCTTGCAAATTGGAGGACAATATTTTAAATACAGTTCAAAAAATGGATTATTATAGTTGGAAGTTAATCATTTGGATATACTATTTGAAAGTAATATTTTAAGTTCAATTTCAGTGTTATATTCATGCCTTATATGTTGAAAATGTAACATTTCTTGCCTCATCACATTCCAATTAGTAATTTTTAAAAAAGTTCAAGTTTTATTAGTTACATTATTAAGACTGTTGTCCAATGACTTGCCATATTAATCTGACTTGTCTTGTTGACTTAACCAAGTAATGCCTTTAAATTGCACTTTAAGCTAAATATTATTCATTCATTTTCTTTTCGGTATAGTCCCTTTATTTATCTGGGGTCACCACAGCAAAATGAACCGCAAGCTAAATACTAGTATCTTGCAAAAAAAAAAAAACTAGCAAAATACAAAAGGCAAAGCAATTAGCTATTAGTTATTTTGAAACATTAGTTTTAATGTGTTGGGAAAAAATCTCTATTAAACAGCACTTGAGAAATATTTCAAAAAGAAGTAAAATTTTCGAGGAGGGCTAATAATTCTGTATTTACCTGTATGTACACCTTTTTTTTAAAATGTAACACTTGTTGTCTCGTCACATTCAGTTTCTGTAAATGCACCATA